CTAGACCAAACAGATCCAATCCAATCACTCAACCAAGCTCAATCAGCGCAAGAAAGAAAAATTCAGCCGCTCAGATTTCCCAAAAGAAAAAATGATGGGTTTTCAGAAAGTGATGAAAACCGAAAAGAAATTTTAAATGTTTCTAACAAGAGAGAGAAACAGAGGTGGAGGGAATGATGGCGATGAGCTGACTGACAGGCGTGCCTATCACTAAGCACCTAAAAAAAAAAAGAAACCCTCTTTCTCAAACAGTAATCCGAAATGAACTGTAAAGATCAATTAAACCCATTTTAAATAAAATAACAACAAAAACCTTTATAAAATTACAAAAATCAAATTAACCACTTCTGTTAAAAAATAAAAAAGGAAAAAGAGAGAGGAGAGAGAAAAAACTCTGCCACCTTTTTTTGGATTACAAAATTGCGGGGAGACGTAGCGACGAGAAAGGAATAAAAAACAAAAGAAAAATCGGATAAAGACGAAACGATGGACGACGGCCAATGGGCTGACTTCCGAATGCAAAGGGGATGAGAGAGAAAGAATGTGGGATTTTAGAGAGAGAAAGAGCGGAAGGGTCGGTGACCGGACATAATTCATAACTTGATGGATGGCCAGAAAAAGGGCTCATTCGGTGGCAAAAGCCAAAAGATGCTCTTCTTGCTCAGCTTTGATGTGGGACCCAATGGGGCTGAGGGAGGGAGCAATGTGGGGACCACATGGCTATTGGACTGAAATAAAATATTGGCATAATACTGCTGTTATTGAATTGTTATTGCAGCATTTTCCGAAAAGAGGTGCTGTTTACAATATTTTTTAATTATTAAATTTTGATGATTTTATTTTGATTTAGTTATTGAACCTACTTTAAATTTTAAGGTTTTTGTAAATCTACTTTTTATATTCTCATCAAATATTATTCTTTTCTAATATCACATACCTCCCGAATTTTCTTTTATTGAGCTCTACATATCTCACTTACTTTAATTGTTATATTAGTTAAATTCATATTTACTAAAAAAATTACTCATTATATTTTACAGAGACATACTTATTATTATTTTTAACTATTATTTTTTTATTTATTTTTATAATTTAAACAAAAAAATATAAGTAGAAATTATGCAATAGCATAACACTAAAATTTGCAATAGTAAAAATTAAATATTTAGGAAATAAATGTATATGAGTTTATTAAAATTAATAGTCAAACTAATTTATTATTACTGAAACATTTCATATATTTTTATAATAATCAATCGTGAGTCGGGTGTTGATGAGTGTTTTCAATCAATAATTAATTTAGAAGATAAAATGTAATTTTAATCAGAAGGAAAATATAAAAGAGAAGATCTCAAGAAACAAATGGGGTTGTTGTGGCGTAGGGTGATCATTTATTTTATAACTCGGACTGATAGGTCCTTTTCATGTTTTATCGAGAATCTATCTCTCGTGAGTTATCTCATTTTCTCATCCCTCTTTTTGGATCATAGTACAAGGCTATTTATAGTAATTGTAGCCCGAGAATTGTTCATCGGATCGTACAGTGCACATTTAATTGATTCGACATGCGCATTTAACGCGTCAGGCTACCCTACGAGTCTAGAACTGATTGGCCGTCAGGTTAGGTGGCAGAGATGTGATCTTCCATCATTAGATTACAAGTGGCCTTTTTATTTACTTCCTACTTAGCCAATCAGCCCAGCTCGGGTCAGCGCCCATGTCTTGGTTCTCGACTTTTGTTGTCCCTCGCTGCTCAGCTCTTTGGGCCCTCATGACTGATCTGCGTACACAGTTTATCTCACTGAATACAGGTTGCCCCCTTTCTTTTCTTTATGGGTCCACATCCAATTCGGGGGTTAACATACAGGCCCCTGAGCACAGACATGTCGCGGTTGGCGGCTTTTCTGAGGTTGTATTATAGACTCACTCCCAAGTTGATTTTGGGCCCACAACCTTAGCTGACGTGTCCCTTGAGGTGGTTCGCATCCCCAGGTTTTTAATCATGACGCCCAAAGGGTTTTCTCCATTTACGTGGCGTGTCACGATTTTCATGAATGCCTCAAAAGGCGTGCGGATAGACTTCCGCTTCATAATGTGGCTTCGATCTAGGTCGTTGATCGGGCGTCTTACCTTTTTTCAAATTTTGAAGCGTCGTTCCATGCGGGATTTCATGATTAGTCGTGGGTTCCTCTCTAAATGGACCTTGTCCTTTCTTCATTTTCTCCTTTTGCAATTTCGCACTCTCTTCCACAAGTTTAGAGTTTTTATCCTGCAATCAGCCGACGAGTTATTAGCTTCTTTGGACGTTCTCCGTGCCCCCAGAATTTCTAAACTTTTTTCGGTAAGGCTCGATTTTTTATTCTTTATCTTGCCCGTTATATTTTCTTCTTTGAAAGAATAGTTGTTACATCCTCGTCGGCAACCAAGAGCCTAGATCTGGCGTTGGTTTGAGTATCACGAGGCCAGTACAACATCCAGTCGAGTGCTGATGCAGAACGGTCGTCATTCGCTTTGACCGGCTTTTGGGGTCGATTGCATCAGAGTTGGTCCACTCAGTCCTACCTAAAAATCAGGAAAATTGCTAGTACACTCACGGGAGTTGATATTCTCCAGATGAGGAATGAGTTTCGGATACCACAAAGCATGAGAATGTTCTCCTCATACCCAGACGAGCGCATTCATCGCTCCCTGGAGAGTTGCATCAGAGCAGATCCTTGTGTCGGGTTGCTGTTTCCGTTCCCCTGGATTCTAACCGAGTATAGCTGGAATTGTGGTTTTTGGTTTAGTCAAATCCACCCTAACGTTTGGGCTATGTGTTGGGACCGGTTGGATCTCGAATTTATACATGTCACGGACTATCTACGAATTAAACCCTAAGCACAGCGGAACTAGAAGCGAGGGTTCAACGCGTACCATTTTTAATTTTGTCGACTCTAAGAAGTTTATGATTTCTGTTGTAGGAGATCGTCTGAGTCTCATGTCCGTTGGGCAGCCGGACTAGCTTTTCCATCACCGCTGGATCGTCCCGGACTCGTCGTGAGCTCACCAGTACTCTCCGAACCCTTGCTGGATTACCTGGGGTCAGTTCGGGAGTGAGCTGGCAGCGTTCTGGATAGAACCGGGCTGGCTGGGGTGGTGTGGAGCTGCTGTCCGAGTGATGGGCCACATCTGCCGTGATTGGGCCGCGCGTTGGGAGCATTTGGGCCGCGGAGGTAACAACCCAGCATCTAACCCGTAGTGTGATATTTTCCGCTTTGGGCACTCTCACCCGCACCCATTGTAGGCCTCTATCATACAATCTGTGGTAGTCGTTTCTCAAGCTCCCTCTCCGGAATTGAACCCTAATTCTCCATCACCCGTCACCATCATTGTAGGCCTTTATCCTACAATCTGTGGTGACGGGTGACGGAGAATTAGGGTTCAATTCCGGATAGAAAGCCCGAGAAACGGCTACCACAGATTGTAGAATAGAGGCCTACAATGGTGGTGCGGGTGAGAGTGCCCAAAGCAGACAATATCACACTACGGGTTAGATGCTGGGCTGTTATAGTGGTATCAGAGCCAGCACCCGGGCCATGTTCCAGCAAGGATGTTGGGCCCCTTAGGGGGGGTGGATCTAGATATCCCACATTGGTTGTAAAGGAGAACGAAGCATGCCTTATAAGTGGTTGTAGATACCTTCAATAGTGTGACGCGTTTTGATGAGCCAGCTCCCAAAGGAAAAATTGTGCGGGTGAGAGTGCCCAAAGCGGACAATATCACACTACGGGTTAGATGCTGGGCTATTACAGTGCTGGAGGCGCGTTGGAGACCGCGCGGGCCGGACGCAGGCTTCTCACGTGTCGCGCTGGCTGAGAGCTGTGAGGGATAAGGGCTAGACGCTGACCGCGCGGCCCCAGCGCTATCTTCCTCATAACTGGCTCCTCGTGGGGTTCATGCATGCGGGCTGTGCGAGGATTGGGCCTCCGCGTCTCCTGGGCTGCTCCTTGCGGACTNCCGCCTTGGCTGGTGTCCGGTGTGTATTTCTCTTCCCATCGTCTAATTCGTGAATTATAATCTATTTTCATAATCTCAAGAGATGTGATGTATTTTTAGGCTACAACAGGGACCTGAAGGAGGTATTAAATTGGGCTTCTCCTATTAGGATTATGTTGGATTCTATTAGGAACGACAACAACATGCACGTTTGAATTTGGCAAAATAAACCCTAACGCAGCAGAATCTGTAGTTAGGATTAGAACATTACCGTTTAAAATTTTTGCCGACATAGAGACGTTTATGATTTCCTTTGATAGAGATCTTCTGATCACCAGAATCCGATGGGCTACCGGATCTGGCCTTTCTCAATTCTGATCGAGTCACTGAATCACGAACGGATCACCGGATCGGGCTCATCGGGGTCGGGCCGGTTGGATCAGCTTCAGTTCACTGGGTTGACTCAGTTGGACCTGGGTTAACTCGGCCAGAACTTGTCTGGGCTCAGTCGGGCTCGGTTGGGCTCGTCTCGGTCGGGTGCATCGGTGCGGTCACGGACAGGCGCTGGTCCCTGGCACAGTGCGTCGCGGACAGACGGGCGAAGGTCGCGGGCGCACGGGTGCTGACTACTAGCGTGCGCGGCCGTTGGACGGGACGCACCGGTAGCGGACATAAGCGAGGAGGTCGGGCGCGTGCGGTCGCGGGACTCGTACGCTTGCTAGGACTGGGCGTGGGCTTCTGATGTCACACGGGTACGCGTCTCTGGATTCCTGGTCGTGTGCGGACTAGCGGGCGCGTGCTTCCTCGTGTAGGGAGCAGGGCGTAAAGGATCACGGGCAGCGGCGGTGCGCGAGCAGGTAGGCGGTGCTGATGCTCGAGCGGGTGTTGCTGGGAACTGCGTGCCGGCGACGATGGACGGCGGAGGCGATTTCCGACGGCTGTCGACGGTGGAGGATGGCTAGAAAAATTATATCTTCAAGGTTTGAATTATCTCACCTTAAGATCTTCTAATGTATTACCTTTACACCTACTTCGACTAATCTTGGTAGAGCGATTAATCGAATCTCCCGAACTCTCGAATATATAATGAAGCTCGATTTTTCTCTCTTGGGAAGACCTTAAAATCGATCAACATTAATGTGGGGAAGAGGTTGGGGCATGGTGTATTTATAGACTGCATTAGGGACCTTAAGGAGGTGCTAAATGTGGGCTTATCCCATTAGGCTTAGGAATCCTAATCATACTCCATATCCTTTCCAATGTAGAAGTCTTATTCCTACTAACCTCAATCACCCTTGTAGAAGACTCCATAGTTTCCTAACCCTAGGGTAATTAATCTAGAAGGAATATTTCTCTCCTAATGGAATCTAAATTATGAAATATAATTAATTCCTAATTCCTAATTAGAATTAAACAATAAAACATCCCACTAGAATAATATTATTACTCTCCCCATTTAGCTCCAATTTATTCAATAAATTCAAACCTCCAAATGATTAATTAATATTAATCTAAATTGACCGATTTACCTTCCTATGTTTAAGATATAACGTCCACTGATTAATTCAGTTACTGATAATAAAATTAATTCGACTTTTTCATTTCTAGTACCACTCAGTTCATTAATCATTATGCCAGAAAATTATCCACTTGTAAGGTTTGACATAATATTCCTTCATGAGCTCATTTCGGGGACGTCACTAACCCAGCACATTGGGACATAGTGACTGTATATAATTTATAACGGCGCATCATATAAACACTCTTACTTACCAAAATACCGAGTATGTCATCCTAATAAAATAGGAATCACCCTTGGTAAATCAAATAAATAAGTAATGAATATATATGCCCATCTTATATTTTCTTACAACTTAAGAGTACGCATCAATTACTGAAGGTTTAGATTATAACAACGATCAGTAAATCTTATAACCTTATCCTTCCGTGGTCCGTTCAATACTTATCATAAGTACTAGTGTAACCCATCAGTTAAAGATCAACTGAATCAAGACTACATTACAGTCTTTTTCCAACAGGGGTCTCACTGCCTGTCTAAACTGTGAACAATTAATTTGTATTTTATAAGGAACCGATAATATAATCTTTTTGTTCAACACGACGAACCATATTATCTACAATGTAAAATAATGGAGTTATGATTGCATACATAAATAAACTGCAAACATAAATACTTTGACTGAAACACGATTGACAGATCAAAATGGTACTGTTCATATCTGAAAGCCAAGCTTTTACTACATATCTAATATATTAGACTATAGGCCAAGCCTACCAAACCCAAATAGAAATAATATATCCATTCCACTAAAGTAATATTATTGAATAAACTCTCAATTTAATTCCCGAATTATATTTGAGGCTCCAATAATAATTACTCGATTTATCTCCCCGTGTTTAAGATATAATGTTCATCAATTAATTTAATTACTAACAATTAAATTAATCGACATCTATAATCGAGACTAGTACCACTCATCACGTTATTATTATGTCCGAATAAATTCCACTGGCCAGATTTAACATAATAATCCTTCATGAGCTCATCTTGGGGACATCATCAAACTAACGCACATGGTGACCGTAAATATTCTAACAGCACATCGTACACACAATAATATTACCCAAAACAGTAAGTATATTGACCCAGTAAACTGAATCTCACTCAAGAAAATCAAAGTAATATTTACCGCATGCACATGCCTGTTTATATCTTACGGATTAAGAGTACGCAGTAATTAACCGAGGCCTAGTTCGTTTACGACGATCAGTATAAAACGAATTTCTCCTCTCTGGGATCCGTTCAATACACAAAGTGTACTAGTGTAACTAATCAGTCAAGACCAACTATACGGTTAACACTACAACCGTCCACGATGGGTTGTTCATTTCCATCTAGGTTGTGAACCTACTATTCTTGTTTCGCAAGTCACTGATAAAATGATCTTATGTTCACACGATATTGAACTATTTTATCTAAGTGCAAAATAACAGAACATAGACTTGTTTAATTAAACATGATTCTCATACAAACGGGTTCAGTGTAATTATATCTAAAGCCAAGCTTTCAGTATATACACCAACACTAGGATCATCAACCTCCTAGTCTTATGTCGTCAAAACGGGCGGTCCTTCCCAACCACCAAAAGAGATTAGGAGTTTGTTCTTATTCCGAGAGACCCATAAGAAATTTGGTTTATATTACTATGTGTCTCAGGAAAAGTTCTATTCCTGTGTGGTTGAGGGAGTGCCTGAGACCCTAAAAGGGTTCAAGCCTGAGTGGTTTTGGATTGAAGGCAATTGGAAATCGTCTACTCGGGGAGACGACGGGCAGTCGAACTTTGCTATTTTATCCCTACTAATTTTATCACTTGCTCCGGTGAGTCTTTTCTTATTTTCATTTCCCCCCTTTTGGTCTGTTTTATTTTCTATACTAATAGGTCTGCTTACCGTCCTTGTATAAAAGGGGGACGCTCGACCGGTGCCGACACTT